AATTAAAAGATCAACAGAATGGTCAATTAACTGCTCAAATTGAAGTCAAAGAGACTAAAAGATGATCTTGATTGAAAGTAAAAAAGTAATTGAGGAAATTTCCCTCTGTATAAATTGAAATTCATTCCACCTATTAAAGAAAATGGTAGTTATTTTCCATTTAAAGATTTTTGCTTTTTATTAGGTGATAATGCATCTTCATGCTGCTTTCTTTTTCCAACATTTATTATTTTTCTTTCTTCTTGGTAAATCTCATAGGTAATTCTTTCTTTTCTTAGATAAGCTTCAAGTGTTTGAGTATCATTTATTTTGAAAACATAAGGAGCAATTTTTTCACCTTGTTCTTTCTTCAAAATGAGTTTCATATTAACTATTTTTATATAGGAGTAGTTCTATATTAAGAAGATAGCAAATAGGAGATTTTAACAATCACATTACTAAATTTTGATCCCTGAAATTCTGGTAATACCAATGTTCACTTTGGTTTTGTTGCAGCATGCCCATATATTTTTAAATATTTATTATTATTAAAATTCTTACAAGAGCCTGTAATTATTATAACATCAATATCTTCAATTAATTCTTTATCGTTTGGATAATCCTTTTCATTCACAACATCAAATTTCTTTAAATTTATTGGAATCATTCAAAAAGGTTTGTTTCATTTTTTTCTAATTGGTGACCTAGCCAAATTTGTACGGGGATGGTCAAAAATATTCTGCCCTATCCTTTTATGTGTCCCGTGATAATCTCAAAAAAATGGTTAATTCACTACTTGCTATATTATTAGTCGTTAACTCGAGAAGTGGAAGTGGACACAATTTTGTTTTCCATTATCCTAAAACTCCTCAAAGACGTGATGAAATAGAACAATCAATCCGTAAAGAAGATAATTATGATTTTGATGATGAAGAGGAGGAGAAAGAGAAAGGGGATGACGAGAATTATTTTGATGAGAATTATTTGCTAGATAATGATACAATTTCTTGGCCTTACGGACTTTCAGATGACATTGACACAAGATCTTTAAAATCAAAAGTTGAAGAAGATGTTGAAGAAAATGATTTCAACAACAACAGCAGCTGCAGCGGTTGCAGCAACGTTAATCATAATACAGATAGCGAAAATAATGAACAAAAAGAATCTTTTAACCAATTGTTTGGATTTGAACCTTCTTTATTAGCCAATATTCTTTGTCCTAAGCTTAAAACTACTTCAAAATTTCAATTATCAATTGATGATATAACTTTTGTTGGGCAACCAGTTTTTTTAAAATCATCATCGTCTAATAATAAGAACGACAATAATGATGATAATGATAATAGTGATAATAATAACGATAATGATAAAGAAAGTTCTTTAAAAAATGATAAAGATGATAATAATAATAATAATGTTTCAGAAACAAATCAAGAAAATTACGATGATGCATTAATTGAACAATTATCTATAATATCAAATCATTCCTTTGATGATATAGAATCCGAAGTTTCTTCTCATTATAGTAATAGATTATTAACCAATAGCAACAACCATTATAATAATAATTATAACAACAACCGCAACGATAATAATAGTAATAATAACCAACAATTAGATCTAACATTTTTTCATCTTATATTTGTACTTGAGCCACCTGAATTAGAACTTTGTAGACAAGTAGACAATATCTATAACAATTTAATTACAAAACTTACAGCTGCTCTACATTATGAACAACTTAGATGTGGATATGTTAGCAAAGAATCAGAATTGATTTTATCATTTAGAGATTACTCAGATATTAGAACAAAGGATGATTTGATGAACATTATTTTACAAAAGAGTTCTTTGGCTAAAACAATCAAACAAGTTTATGATGCAATATCAACAGATTCAATAGCACATGTTTTAGTCAATGATTACATTGACCTCTCATTACAAATTCCTCCTCTTGTTCCAACAACTTTTATTAATTCTTCTGATAATGATTTACATGGCTACGAATATGCTCATTACCCTGTGATTGCTCCATATCATACATTATTGCTGTTAGAAGATGCTGAAGAATTATTGAAAAATATGCCTTTAGATGCTAATCCTACTCTAGTAAATCTGGTACAAATATTGACACCTACACAACGGTAATTATGATTTTTTTAAAATTTGTTAAAGAAATATGTATATATATATTTATTTATTTATTTATATTAATTTATAGTTTAGCAGATCTATGTACTTTATTAGATTGTTCTTTAGCACAAATTTTTAGACTTGCGGCTCATTTAATATTTTGGAGGAAAGCAAAAATAATTGATGTAATTAATGTACGAAATGTTTATGTTGTTTCACCTACAGCAGATATGAATTCGTAAGAGAAACATATATATATATATTTTCATTTAGATATCTATTTTTAATTTAACTAATTATTTATATTAATTATAATAATAATGTTAATAATGTACTTTTTAAAGATTACCAATACACATTGAATATTTCAGGCAACACTTTCCAGCTTTGGATCTAGTGACAATTCTTGCATCACTTTCTACTCAAAAACCTTATTTTTTAAGTGCCGTAATCACATCGAAAGAACATCGCACAATGTATCTTGAAGCTATAACTTACCTATTAAGAAAGGATCTTGTGGTGCAATTACACGCTTATATTTTTGTAATGGTTCCACAATATGTAAATACTGAAGAAGAAAATCAAGAAAAATTGAGAATGTCCAATGTTATTGATGATAATAATAATAATGGTGCTGAAATTGGAATTGTCAATGGTGATTCTCAGGTTAATCACAGTGACAACAGCAATAATATAAATACTTCACCTAGTGACAATAACAATAGTAATAATAACAATATTAGTGTTAGTAATATTAGTAGTAGCAGTAGCAATGACAATAATTCAACAATAGGAACCAATTTAACGGATCCTGTAGTATTAATATCACCTTATGAAAAAGCATGTGATAGTGAAAGAGAATGGTTAAACAAATTGGTGATTAATCAACCAAAAGAGACTGCAAATCTTTTTGAAAGGTAACAATCTAATTTTTTTCAGCAAAATAATTGAAATACAATATAACTAATTCTTTTCTTTAAAAGGTTAATAAAATATTTTAATGGAAAACATCATATCGAAGAAATCCTTTTTCGTGAAAGTATCAAACCAAAAGATTTAGGTAAAATATTAAACTTGTTTAGTAAGGATAAATTAATTATTGTTTGGTGTTAACACTAAATTTATTTTTTGTCTGATTTTAATTGTATGTTATATATATATATATTTGTTTTTGCATGTTTTGTACATATTTGTATATTTATAATTTTGCACTCTTATAAATAAATCATCTGTAATTTTATGAAATTTTGTGTGATCATAGTTTTGTTTCATTATTAGCTGGATTATTCGAAAATGTCTCTAGTACAGTGCAAATCACTTAGTCCCACAACTTTTTATTGGTCGTGTAGATTTTCAAATTCTCCAAAAATGGAAATGC